TGCTATAAAGAGAGGTGTTCCAGGTTCCCGGCAGGGTCTGCCTGAATTTCATACTGAAATCACTGTTCTTTCCAAGATTCGCCACCACCATCTTGTTTCACTAGTAGGTTATTGCGAAGAACAGTCTGAGATGATACTTGTTTATGAGTATATGGAGAAGGGACCTCTTAAGAGGCATTTGTATGGTCCAGGAATAACACCCTTATCTTGGAAGCAAAGGCTTGAGATATGCATTGGTGCAGCAAGAGGCCTCCACTATCTTCATACAGGTTTTGCTCAAGGAATCATCCATCGCGACATCAAGTCAACAAACATCCTGCTTGATGAAAATTATGTTGCTAAGGTTGCTGATTTTGGTCTCTCAAGGACAGGCCCATGTCTCAATGAGACCCATGTCAGCACTGGTGTAAAAGGAAGTTTCGGCTACCTTGATCCGGAATATTTTCGGAGGCAGCAGCTTACAGATAAGTCAGATGTTTACTCATTTGGAGTTGTTCTTTTCGAAGTCTTATGTGCTAGACCTGCCATTGATCCTCTGCTTTCACGGGAGCAAGTGAATTTGGCCGAATGGGCTATGCAGTGGCAGAAGGACGGACAACTAGAGCAGATTGTTGATCCCCGTATCAGAGGTCAGATAAAGCTAAGCTGTTTGAAGAAGTTCGGGGAGACTGCAGAGAAATGTTTGGCTGATTATGGTATCGATAGGCCAACAATGGGTGACGTGCTGTGGAACTTGGAATATGCATTCCAGCTTCAAGAATCTGATTCACTTACAGAACCCCATGAGGTTTCTAATTCCATCTCTCCACGGCTGCCACTGCCAGAGGGTCTCCGCAACACCCAAAATGAGGCATATACTGGTGATGGGGCTTCAGAAATATCAACAAGCCAGGTATTTTCACAATTGATGACCAATGAAGGCAGATAACTAGTCTACAGTATAGTGCACCGTCAAATCTTCGCTCAACAGTTTAGAGGCATCACTGTTGATTTTGGTTTACATTAGCATTTTCTTATTAAAAGTTTTCGTAATTGGCAGAGCCATCATTTGCTTTTTGAACCGAGATTCATGTAGAATATACTGCAAAAGTGTATCATACAATAATCTGTCCTATGATGTAATCCTTGTCATGCTCGTGCTCCTTGGAAGAGAAACATAGGGCTTGAATGATGAACATCTAAAATTGTGTATAAGCAGAAATTTGATTGCGTATCAATCCATCAATATCTGTTGATGCTGCCCATTGTTGTACTTTAAAACTGTTTAGGTTGAAAGTTTCACGATTTTGAAGAGCGGATAGCAGCTTCATATTATAGAGGATTGTTGTTATAGGGAGAGCTTCATATTATAGAGGATTGTTGTTATAGGGAGGTCCGACTGTGTAGTGGGTTTCCAAAATATTTGTCATGTTATTCCTTAAAGACGCTTGTCCCATTTTTATCCATCGGCGTTTTCCGTTTTTACCAATATGGCAACTTTACTCTCAGATCATGCTTGCACTTTGCGGGAGTCTAGAATTCAGCTGATAATTCAACAGATATAGCCTTAAATCACTTGAAATATAGTTCTGCCCGTGTGTATAGAGCCTATTGAACCCCAATGACTAAGCCATGTGGAATTATAGAATGCTACACCTAGGAAATTCAACTCAATTAACTTTCAAGGTCATCTAACGCGTTACTTAACGTGAGGTGTTTGAAGTAAAGATTTGAGTTATTGGGTATACTGCTCCTTTTACTCTTGCATTAACTATAGAAGACATAAGTTTTTATGAATTTCAGAAGAGCAAACTTTTGTTGACAAAAACAATTAAATGAATAGATATTTCGCCGTAATGGCTAAAGGGGGGTTGTTTGGTTGAGGGCTAGCTCACTGTTCAACTCCATTCATAGCGTAGCTGCTCCTTCCCCCTTCCCACCCTTAGACCATCCTAAAGCAAAGGGAAGCTTTTCAAGAATGAAAAGGATAAAATATTGACCCAATTTTGGACCCATAGTTCCAATCTAAGACCTCAAAATCGGGCTCCTCAATTTTGACCCATAGTTCCAATCTATGGACATATCGAACGACGTCGAAGTCGAGCACGGGGGAGACCTCGTTTTCTTTGGTATACGGATCCGAAGCATTGATCCCAATCGAAGTCGGGAAACCTAGCGTCAGGTTTCAGCATGCCACCGAGGACTGTTGATACCCAATTATTCCCTATAATATTTTTGAAATGTATATTTACCTTTAAAACTATGCATTAGCATCAATTTGTATTTTCCATAATTTTTACATTTTTAATTAATTTATCTTAATATTTTATTCACATAAATAAATACAAAATTGCATTACAGATGATTTTAAAACATCTGTTGATTTAATATTACCATTTATGGTCCTATTAAGTTCCAATTATCTCACAAATGGCCAGATTTACATCTTTTGGTTACAATTGCAATAATTTTGCAATTATAGCCCATGCATACATCACTGCATTAGTTTACCAGAAATTAGCCCGTTATATTTTTAAAATATTGAATAATTATTTTAAAGCATCTCCGTGCATGAAAATTATTTTTTATCATTGTTAATTATTTTATAAAATAATTTTTATTCAAATACCTGGGTATTTAACAAATAGCCCTCTTATTTCAGATTTAGCCTAATTGAACAGCTCAATTTCAATCCCTAACCCAATACACCCCAGGCCCAATTAATCTAAACCCGACCCAGACCTCCTCAAATCCTGGCCGTTGATCTTTGAGATCAACGACCCGTATTTATTCTGACCATAATTAACCTAACGACCCCCCTCCTTACCTAATTCATTTTCCTCGATACCCCGCTGTCACCCATTCCCTTCTCTCTCAAACGCTCTCTACCTAAACTCTAATCTTCAGGCGCTATCACCGGCTTAGCCCTCCGTTCTATGATGTTTCTCTGTCGTCTTAGGCCTATATTGGCCTCCTATTTGCTGTGGTTCATCAGTTTCTTGGATCCTGAGAAGATCTCAAGGGACCTAGGCGGTCTGTTTTGCACCTTTGGGTTTTCTTGCCTATTTCAGGCTATTTGGCTCGACTTTGAGTAAGATCTTTCTCATTTTCGTCTTAAATCCATGGATTCCTAAGTCTATGCTCGTCTCTGTTGCCTTTCTAAAAGCCCTAATTTTTTAATCCTTTGACCTTCTCAGATCTGTCCAGATCTGAGATGAATCGAACCTATTTCACATGTTTTCACGAAAGTCTTATGTTTTTTTCAACTGATTCTCCGTTTTTCCTAAAACTAGGGTTTACTGAACTCACATTCTCAAAGCTTTTTTGATTTTCAAGTGCTTAATCGTTGCTCTTAAGTGTTACTGATTAATTCATGTTAAGATTGTTTGGACCCTAGTCGATTTATGCTAAAGCCCTAATTTTCTTATACTTTGCTCCGTTTCTGGGTTTTTCGTGTCACTCGTTGTATTGTTTCGTTCTGTGCTTTGACTTTCATGATTTCTCCTTAGTCTAATTCAGTATCTTGTGACTTTTTACCCCGGTTCATCTCTACTATGGTTTTTGAGTCAATCTCTTGGCTAATTTCTATGTGTTTATGAAATTTTATTTAGCCTATTTGTCTATTTGTGGAAACTGATTTCTTTCCCTCTTTAAATCAGTACTATTTTGAATTTTGATTTACTGATTTGCTCGGTTAAAACTTATATGTTGATTCTTGATTTATTCCCTTGTTTACGACTTTAATTATTCTTCTTACCTTATTTAGTTGCCTGTAATATTACTGATTCTTCACGATTATTTTCTTAATTAGACTCCTATTTGTTTACCTCTTTACTTAGGTCTAATTTGATTTCTTTCCTTAAATGACTCTTGTCCTTTAACCATTGGGTAGTTATTCTCATTTAAAGGAAGACTATGCTGATTTTGTGTGTAATTGATCCTGATTTCCCTAATTGCTGAGTGTTGATTTCTTTTACTTTATTCCGCTCCGCTCCTAAACTGCTATATATACTCTCCTCTATTCTCACTTCTGGACACGAACATTAGTTCACCACTACCTTTACACTCTAAAAGCTATCTGTTCTTCTCTACCACTTGTGATATTCATTAGTCTAGCCGGCTGTAAGCCAAGGCTAGATATTGCTCAACTTCTGCTTTGCATTATGTGTTTTTCTCTTCCTAACTGGTATGTCCCTGATTATTTTTTAAAATCTAAACCCTATTGTTTCATTACTGCCTTAAGTTCATCAATTATAAATTCCATTCTTGTTCCCGTTCACTATCTTATTTAGCAATGTCTTGTTCAATATATGATTAGCATGTCTAACTATGTTAGCCTATCTACTGCTTTATCTAGCATGCCTAAATTCTGCCCTTTTCAAATGTATAACTATCATGTCTACACTTCACTTGTTATCTGATGCTTGCCTATTTGCAATTCATGTTTAATCCCTTAACAATGTGTTCATCCTACTTGTGTGTCTGATTCTGTCTTCTACATCCTTTCTCCATGTTTTAGTTGCCTGCTATCCTGGTTAATTTAATAAGACTATGAAGATCCTAATTGTTCTATGTTGTCTACATACCTCCCTGCCCCTATTCATGTACCCTCAATGAGACTCATATATGTTCCCAATCCCTTTTCCCTTGTGTGCAAACCTGTTTGCTAAAGTGCCTGTGAAACTGAACCTTCTATGATTGACTGGCTGCCTACTAAACTTGCTCTCTTCAAAATAGTTTTCAAAATGTTATCAGTATTCTTATAAAAAAGCTGGATTTCATTCCTAGTATTTTCTCAAAACTTGTCTATTCTAGAGAAACCTTTTTCACTCCTAAATTGTTTTCACTAAGTCTTTCAAACTATGTCAAACACTATCACTTGCTCCTAGGTTGTTAAGTTTTGCCCCTCGGGTATGTGTACTGCTTAGAGATCCTTGAGATCTCTATGAACTCTGGCATATCAGGCTCTTCCTCACTGCACATAATCAGTCTTTACTTGAGGGAAGTCTGGGTGTGAGCACTGCCCGGGATCCTTGAGGTCCTTAGGGAACTCTGACACACCTGGACACAAATTTGGCAATGAAATCTTTGGCATTTGAGACTACTGAAGGCCTGGTACTCCCAGGTTTGCTTTGGGCCTACATCAGGCTCCCTATAGTTCAATCTATATTGTATTTATGTAATTTATTCAATTCTGGTCTGTAATAATTATTTGTAAATAAATATTGGGGTAACTAGTGAAACATGAGGGTAATTCTATGATTCTGTGGGTGAAAATTGGGTAGAAAACATGCTATAGATTTTATATCCTGCAAATCTGCATTAGAAGCCATGTTCTAGGATTGTTATGTCCATTTGCATTTAAACCATGTTGAACTTGTGCATTAGATAACCTATTTTTAGGGCCTTCACGTTTACTGTTTCAGCATGTTGTATGCTCAATTCTTGATTTTTCGCAAGTACTGTCACATAAACATCATGCTATCAAATAATCTTAATAAAAACTGTCATTCTTGTATGCATTAGATACCATGTTCTTAGGAACTCTGTTTGCATCTGTTTGAACCACTTCTATTTCGATTAAATCAATAGCTGTCCGTGAAAAGGTCTAAAGCAGAGTCACGTATAGGTATCATGTCTCTAAACACAATTGATAAATCGCCTGTTATAATCTGTACCACTTAGATAAGCATGCCTATAGGATAAAAGAACTTCAAACTGTTTAAGTATTCCCCGGATTCGTGACTGCATATACACACTTAGGCAAGCCTTAGGCTGTTAAATAATTATGAAACCAGTTCTGTTTATGTGTGAAATTATCCAGGCTTATAGGCTATAAAACCAGTAGGCAAACTGGTTAGGATTCTGCCACTTCCCTTAAAACAGACATTGCATATCCTGTGTCTGTAACATTTATCTAGATATCATGTTCTTAGTCTTTCTGAACTTCTTCAAAATCAGCTGTTTGAGACGTGCTATTTATTTGTCTATGTATGTGTGGAGGTAAACATGAGCCTTTTACTTGCTTCTTTAATTAACAGTCCTATATGTTATTCGTTGTCGCCTAGAACTTTCCCTTTTTTAAATACCTTAGGATTGTTTAGAACTGCCTAAATCTAGAGGTCCTAAATTCCTCTGGGGCCACAAGGAAGGGACGTGTAGCAGCACGCTTAGAGGTCGTGAATAAACTCTCTTATATAACCACCAAGAGGGAGGGATATTATGGGTAGTAAAAGGATATGATGACCTGCGCGCTAATGTCA